ACCACAAATAACGGATCGGCGTGAGCACTGTAAATCTATCGTCGTATGTTCAGAGAAGTTAAAACCTTGTTCAAAGGCCTTATGCAGCGCACCGCGTGAGATTGGGGTAGGTTCCAAAATCACTGGGCGTGTATATCATCTATCAATTAGAGCCCAAGGTCCAGAGTGGATGAATGGAGAGATACAGAATTATCCCAGCCGCAGGGCTGCCAAGCCGAATCAGATGGCATGGCGTACCTACGACGTGGGAGAATGTGAGATGGAATTTTGTGCGGGTGCTTTTGACGCTGCGTTTGAACTAGGGTGAACTAATGATAGGTGATTATCGGTCCAAGCAAGGTGTGTCTGTCAACCACATCCGCGGAAATATCGATATATGATGATCGGAAAGCTGCTGCCTGGAATGACAGACCCGCACTTGTCAATCGCTCGAAGTGAAGGTTCGGTAGCAAGGAATCGGTGCCTTTATCCTACATGAAAATGATGGGGTTGCTTTATGACTTTGAAAACAGTCAGAACGTGATGTAAGTGGCACACGAAAATCACAGCACCTAAATTCATGTAATGAAAACTTCATGCAAAGCGTTGAGTTTTCAGCTTTGTACGGCACCACGTTTCCTCGGGTATTTCATGCGCCTTCATCGATCTTTTTTCCAGACCATCGTTTCTGACGCTATTTCGATGTCGGGATGAGAAGTTTGGAGGTTGGTGGCAGGAGAAGAGGGAAGAAGGCAGTGGGCTGGTACTGGTGCGACTCAGAACCTGAAGAAGTTCCCACAGTCAGAGACTTGGTTGAAAAGACATTGAGTAGGGAACTGTACGCTTTTAGTCAGCTCCGTTATGGTGTAGTGGCTAACATTATCGCCTCTCATCGCCACGAACCGCGAGTAAGACGCGATAGCCCAGGGTTCGATTCCCTGTAACGGAATAATTTTAGAGGGGAAAGGACATGATTTTCCCTTCTCAATTCTCTCATTTTGATTTCGGCGAGCGTGTTTACGAGGAGGCAATACTATATGATTTGTGATTG